TATTGCAGTAAACTGCAATCTCAGATTATTAACAAATATTTAAATGCAATAAGCAGCTTTAATGTAACTTATTACGTATAAAGAGGAAGAATGTACTTCTAATTACACTGGTTTACAAAATGAAAATTGCTTAGCTGCGAGCTGCGTATTTTATTTATTATAAATTTTTTAAGAGCTAAAATGGAAAATCCGGCTATGTACCAGGTTGCGGTTGATCTTACTGATTAAAACGAGCATAAGTTTAATGAGATTCGTTAATTAATTTGGCTAAAATGTGGAAAAAACCTTTTCTAAGCAGCTTTTCAGCAGGCAGCAGGTTTGCAAAGCTGACAAAGGCCAAGTTACCGTAATTATGGATAAGAATACGTATTTTAATCAAATGACCGTGTTGCTCAGTGACAGTTCTACATATAAAGAATTAAATAAGAATCCGATTAATAGAATAACTACAAAGATTAAGGAACTAATTAAAACTTGGTATAACAAAGATATCATTACCGAAAATGGATATAAACAACTTAATTGCACTAATGGGAATTTACCTCGTTGTTATGGACTACCGAAAGTACATAAAAATGGCTTCCCACTCCGTATTATTGTGTCCGCGTTGGGAAGTCCATTGTATGAAATAGCGAGATTATTTCACGATACTCTTGACCAATCTGTACCTAAACCTAATTCACATGTCAAGGACAGTTGGTCTTTCGTCGAAATGATTAACGGTGTGAGAATTGACGATGACGATATATTGGTTTCGTTAGATGTAACCGCACTTTTTACTAACATCCCTAAAAAGTTGGTCATCAAAGCTATAGAAAAACGTTGGAATCATATTGCAAAGAATACGAAACTCAGTCTTTTTCAGTTCACGCACGCAATAGACCTGATCCTAAGCTCTACCAGTTTCTGTTTCAACGGACGTTTTTATGAACAAATTTTCGGTAGTCCGATGGGATCTCCCCTCTCTCCAATTCTCGCGGATCTAGTTATGAATGATCTAGAAAAAATCAAATTGTGCATTAAACTTTTTGGACACCACAGTGATTCGAGAAAAGAATACATTGATAACGAATTGGTACAGAAAACCAACGTTCTCGGGACGCTACATTAATTATTTCTCGAATCACCCGTTTAAATATAAAATTAACATTATAAGGAATTTAGTGGATAGGGCGATTTTACTCTCGGATAATCGGTTTCACTCTAATAACATTTCAACAGTTAAAAAAATACATTTAAACAACTGTTTTCCGATTAATGTTGTCAATAAATACATTAATGTCCGTCGAGGCAAGCTAACAAAAAAATTGAACAATCCGATTGATGAGAGTGCAGACTCGCAAGCGCGGGGAGATCCTGTCAATTGTGTAACGATACCGTATGTCGAAGGCCTTAGTGCGAATATTGAGCGTACAATGAGGGAAAGTGCTGTGAGAGGTGTCAAATTTAAAACACTTTTAACGATTCCGAGAAAGTTAGATTGTGTAATTAAGAAAGGGAAGGACAAATTACAACCTTACAGGCAGACTAATATTGTATATAAATTAGATTGTGTTAATTGTGACTCTTGTTACGTCGGACAAACAAAGAGACGCCTAGAGACTCGCATTAAAGAACATCGGAGCGATGTCAAAAAGCACGTAGATAATCATTCGGTTGTAACTAAACACCGTCTCACTCAAAACCACGATTTTGATTGGCAAAATCCGAAAATCCTGTATAGCGAGAGACATTTCAGAAAAAGAGAGATTTCTGAAATGTTTTTCATTAAAAAGAATAAATACACTGTAAACCTCCAGAAGGATACGGAGAATTTGCCCGCGATATACGATCGTGTTATTGAGGCAGTATAATAAGTAATAGAGTCGGATCTGTTTCTGTTGTATTGTTTATGATCTGGTTTGTTATTCCTTACTTTCGGAACACGTCTTATTGTAATTGGCATTTATCATTGTGACTTTGAATATGGCACGGAATCGAGCCAGTGGAGAAAATGGACAGTCCTTTTTTCTTCGAAATTTGCGTGGCGGCTCTCAGAAACTTGTTATTTTATTCTTTTTACGCACTTAATATGTAAGTTCTCACGATGTACTTGCGATATGTCTCTCACTTTTTCATAATTTATATCTGACATACCTATATTGACATTTTATTCGTTCTAGCGTGGCGCTCGCATGATGTGGTTTGGGCGCAACGTCTTGCGACGCATGATATTGTTGCGTAATTATGTATAATCTCACTTGAGAAGGACCCAATCGGGGTCGAAACGTTGTGAGACGAATGAATAAATAGAAATTGTTCAGTTGGTCGCTTAATCCCGATTATTATTTTCCATTTTGGCTCTTAAAAAATTTATAATAAATAAAATACGGACTCACAGCTAAGCAACCCGACAGAGGTCGGTAGTGTTACTCCTGTCGACCCTTAATATTGAAATTCACTAATAAAAATGAACGAAATAAATTACATAAACGTTTTCTATGTAAATAGGGAAAAAATACAAAAACAGAGTAAAATTTGATTTTTTGTACCTTCACTCAATCGCTCATAACTCCAGTATTTATCCATAAATTTTCTTCAATTTGTTGCTTTTTTTTCGTAAAAGTACAACCTATACGTAAACAATAAGAAACTAGACATAATTTGACGTTTTCTATTTTTGCATGGCGATAGAGTGAATTTTCTGTTTTTATTGTGGCCCAAAAAATCGACGTTTCTCATATATTTTCGCCCATAACACTGAAACTACTAAACCAATTGGAAAACAATGTGAGACGCGATTGTTCGAGATTCGATTACCTTTACTATGATAGCTTGTGCGACCCAATCGTACGTTTCTAAGTCGAGATATGGCCTAAAATGTGAAGCTATCTCCGAAAAAAAATCCAGAAATTTATATCTCAAAAACCAATCTATACAAAAATCTTTATATGTGATTTTCGAGTTTATCGGGCTAAAATACATAGGAAAAAAATAGTGGCATTGAATGTACATTTTGGCTGTAAATCAGTGTAATCAACGGAAACTCTTCTTCATGTTCGATGCACCACATCTACTTAAGAATCTACGCAATCATCTGACTAATGGCCAAAAAATAGAATTGCCTGAAAATATAATAATTCGCGAAAAACTTCCATGCAATTTTGTATCCATTACGTACATTGCCGAATTACCGCATCTAGATACGCTACATGATTTGAAGCTAGCTCCACATTTACGACCAGCAGCTTTACAACTGTCACATTATGATAAAATGAAAGTTGGATTGGCAACAGCAATTTTCAGTCAAGAAGTTGCTGCTGCATTGGAATATCTTGTGAAAACAGGGAAAATGGAAGAGAATGCTTTGACGACAGCCTGGTTTTTGAAGACAGTACATCGTTGGTTTCGGTTTATATCATCACGTTCGAGGCAAACGGCAATAAGTTATTTTGATAGACAAAATTACCAAGAAGCAACCGAATTTTTGACATCATACTTATCAATGTTTTCAATCATGCGAATTGGAGATGCGTGGAAACCGGTTCAAAGAGATCTTGTTTTGACGACAACTACAGCGTTAAAATTGCAAGATTTCTATTTAAACACAAAACATTTTGGATTTGTCCTTCTCAGCAGACTTTCTCAAGATGCATTAGAAAATTTATTCTCTATGATTAGAGGAAAGAATCCAGTTCCAACTCCAAAATAATTCAAAAGTGCACTTAGAATGATATCTGCAGCACAATATTTTAAACCAAATTGAAATGGTAATTATGAGGCAGAAGATTCTGATTTCCTCTTTGAGTATTTGAAGACACGACAAAGTTCGTCGACTAAAATAGGTATATACATTTAGAAACTGATGTTACTATTTCGCTTACTACAAATAGACACTGAACATTCTTTAATGTTTTCAGATTTACCTGATTTTACCTACGGAAGCAGTTTGTGCGACGAGAACGTTAGCCCTAATCAATTTATTGAAAGTAAGATTTTCTGCAACTAGACATGACATAAATGCCCATAATTATTGTGTTTATTGTCATATATTTTGTATAACTTGTTCAATATTATTATCCCACTTTAGACAATGTAAATCCTGAGAACAGCTCTTCACGAAATACAACGGATGTCTCTACATCTATTTATATGGATCTGGAATCGATTGGTTCAGTTTTATCTGGTACATGAATAAAATCTTTATTTCGAAATTTCAGATATCTCAATATCTTCGACTGTTACGAAGTAATATAAAATTTTTTTGTACTAAAAAATTTTTTTTTTACTGCAGTATGTAGGTTTCATTGATGCTTTATAATTGTACATTTTTCATAATGAAAACAAATACTTTATTTGCAGAAGAAGAAGGTCAATCTTTATATAAACTTAGTGGAGCAGTTGTACGAACGGTT